GCTTCTTTGGCCGGGGCTCCTCGTATTCATCCTCATCGCTGAGGTTACCGATCTCCCTCTTCTTGGTGGAGGATCCCCCCCTTGCTGGTGTTAACCTATGTATTTTTCCTTGGGGCACCTTTAACAAATTGGGAGAGTTCCCCGTGCTGGATGAGGTGCTTGATGTGCTTCTTCAAGGTGACGCAGTCATCTGTGTTGTGGGACGTATTCCGGTGATATTTGCAATACGTCCCACCCTTGTGGATGGCAAAGACCTCCTTCTCCGACCTTGGATCCTTGGTGATGAGGCTGGTCTCCTCCGCGTAATCAAGGATGACGCTTACCGGGTGGGTGAGGGGGATCCGTTGTACCTCCAATCTTGGATGCCACGGGCGGTTGTCTTGTCGTTGTCCCCTAGATTCCAGGCGTGCTTGCCTTCGCGGATTTTGTTCTTTTGGCGGCAGAGCGCTGTGAGCCGACGCGTTGTTTTTCTTCTTTGGTGGCCTTTCTCCGCCCTTCTTGCGAGTAAGCACCTCATCAGCGTCCACGTGCTATTTCTTTGCGCAGTTCCTTCCGGCAAAGTGGGTGAGGAAGCGTTGCGCAAGGTCCTGCCATGAGTCCACACTACTCTCTGGGAGCGCGTCGAACCGGTCATAAGCTAGTCCCTCCAGAGTGGAGAGGAACCATCAGCAAAGGTACTCGTCTGAGGTGTTAACCATCATCATGCTATTATGATAGTGAGTGAAGTGCTCATGAGGGTCGATGCGGCCGTCGTATGCCATGATGGGGTTCGCTGTAGCCTGTTGGCCCGAAGCACGGTCAGTAGTGCGCTTGTTCTCGAGCCCGATGCGGGCGCCCTGAGCATTCTTGTTGAGTTGGTTGCGAAGGTCATCAACATGATTCTCGTTTTCCTAGATGATCTCTTCCCCAACAACGAAGTTGTTGTCAACGTTATTTCCTGACCCCTCCTGATTCTCATGGGTTTTGGGGACAATTTTGCCGACGGGGTTCTTGGACTTAGTTCTTCCCATTTTGGTTAGTTGCGCCTGGTAGCGATGAAGGGTAGTCACTTGATCTGTTCTGACTCTCAACGAGAGCACCAAATGATAGAGTATTTAATTCTAGAGAGAAGTGAGAGCTAGAGAGAGAAAGTGAGCAATTAAAATTTCTCAATCCCCTATAACTACCCCCTAGGGGGCTATTTATAGGAGTAAATGTGGGTTTGGGCTCATAGCCTTGGGCTTAGGAGGCCCATTACAATAACCATGCCTCTTTTAGGCAAAATAAGGCCACTAATGGGCTGTGTACAAGATTTGGTGAATTAGGTATGAAAATGCACTCTGCGAGGGTGATTCTTGACCGATCCGGTGCCCTTTGGCCGACGCGGTCCCCTGGCCGATGCGATCCATGACCAATGGGTCCCGCGCTGTCTCTGGACAGTGTCCTGGGTGGCTATGCTTCTAGCCGTTGTGGGATCCACCAGGCCGAAGGGTGCCATGTGGATGATCCTCCTCAGTGTCTTTGACCTTCTGAGTATGTGGGTCATGGGGTCTGAGCCCATATACTCTATCATGTGTACTTTGGATGTTTCTACAAAAGATATGCTTGAACGATTGACAAAACGTCACCCTAACTGCCGTTTTCAAGCTCTATTCGTCTTCTTTTGATCCCGTAGCCAATTCTAGAGATCTTCTGTCTTCAAAAATTCGTCTTTAACACCTCATTAACCTCCAATGCTCCTAATCAACTCTCAAATGCGTCTCAACTCTCTCCATTACTTCTCAAACGCCGGTGTCGGACTTAATTCCCTGATTTTGACTCCAAAAATACCGAACACAAACCAACTCCCAGTAAAATATGACTTAAGCTTAAAATGAGACTTATGACACCTTTAAGCTAGGAAAACCATCAAAAGCCAATCTCAACACGCATCAATTGTGTGTCGAAATACGGACTTATCACCAGGGGAGCCTGGTTGGGAAAAACCTTTTTTTGAAATCCTTCTGAAGGCAGTTTGAAGGATAGATGCCGATCCATTTTGTGATTTGGATAGCTTGTCTAACTTGATAGAAATAGCTTTAGAAGAGTCAATTAGGAATTTACCTGGTGATAGGGGACTCTCACCGTTTGAGCATTAACCTTCGTCTAAAATTAATAAATAAAGCAGGGGTTCCTTGTTTGACAGGGTTGTCATCTAGGGACCGGGGAGTGACAAAGTCACTTGGTGAGAAGTTAGGATTTCCATGTTATTAGTGGGGGTAAGGGTTGTTCAGTGATAGGAGGCATCTGAGCTGGGGATGGGTTAGAGGTAGCTGACGTGGTAGCTCCATCTGGTGTAATAACTTCCATTGAAAGTTCAGAAGTTGGGTGGGAAGGTAATACATAGGGAATCCTAGAATCTGAGGAGGGAGGAATTTTATCTTGGAGGACAACAAAGATAGTAGGATCTGGGACATGGGTGGTGGTAGGATTTGAGTCATGAGTGATGGTGGGATTTGGGGTGTTGGTGACCAGTGGGTTGGTAGTGAGGTTGAGAGGAATTGGGTTTGTGGGGATTTGGGTGGACAGTATTTCATTGGGGTAAGACAAGGTGTGTTCTTGAGTGATAGTAGGAGTCGCATTGGGTGTTGAAGATTGTAGGACTGTGGGTTGGGTATTGAGAGAGGTGGACGTTGAGGACAATTTAACATCAGTGGATAAGTGTCTGAGTTGAGAATGGGGGGTGGAAGGCAGTGATAGTTTGATTACCTTTATCGCAAGTTGAATGACCCAAAAGTTTGCATGATAAACAATAGGGTGAGGAATCCTCATAACATACTTCCTGGAAGAAACCACTTTCACCATTTTGAATCCAAATTGAGTAGACTCTTTCAGCTGTAACATCCATTTCGACACATACCCTTGCAACATAAGGTCTAGGAAGGGTTGTTATGGCCAAGTCTATCCTCAGTGGATTTTCGATGAGACTTGCTATGGAGATGAGGGCACTTCGTTCATGTAAGTGAACTAGTAGTCCAGTGGAATAGACCTAACCCAGTACTACCAGTGATTCCACCCCAGGGGTGAATTGGGGAGACCATTTTGTAACCCGCATTGTAGTGCCATAGACTCACCAGGTCTGGTGAAACCAATATCTTTGATAGTCTTCCTCCCTCTCAAATCAGATGAGAATGTGTTTTGGGGCAATATTTCCAAGAGAGAATATGCCCTTAAAAACTAGCTTGTTAAAGGTTTCTTACCGTTGTTAGCCTCTCCTGGCCATGTAGGAAAGATCCATTGAGTGTGTATGAAAGTCTGCTGGACAGAGCTTCTATTTCCTGTTGTGAGAAGGCAACCACTGGAATTCCTCTGATCCTTGATGGAGCTTTGAACGGAACAATGGGAGTGTTGGAGCGATTCACAACTTCAACGAAGGATTGCTACTCGAAGCTGTTTGGTGTGGGAGATTTGTCTTGCCGGAGCACCTTTCTTGTCGCATCTGCATAGGATAAGGTGGATGAGGTTCTACCACTGTAAGTGGTTGATGGAAGAGTGAGTCTTGATGGTTGTGAAGAGATAGGATCGTCAGTTGCTTTCCGGTGGGTGCATGTTTTTAGATTGGTTTTTGAAAGGGGGTCGGGAAATTTGGGTGGTCTAGCTGGGATGGTGCTGCCATTCCAACAGTGGGGGGGGGGGGGGTTAGAGAGATGGTAAGGCCTCTCTCTCTCTCTCTCTTCAACTTGCCAGAACACATCAGTATTTTCCACATTTATTATTACATCAATATTACTAGTTCTTGTAACGTGCATTTTGCGATTAGAATAATGCCCAATGTACTTTTCATAGCACCGAGCTTATAGAGTAAAAGTACAATAGCAATAAAATTGATGGAGTACCCACGAACGAGAATTATCCTCAAAACTCAGAATACAATTGGTGGAGTACCCAAGGACAAGAATTGTCCTCAAAACTCGAAATATAATTGGTGCAGTATCCAGGGACGAGATTAGTCCTCAGAACTCATAGAATACGGGCTGGTAACTTGGGACTGAACTATGGGTCAAGTATTTTTCAAGTGTATATATACTTATATGTATTTAAAGACTTGGGGGGAAGTATATGTTTAATTATCACCCTATGTTTGAATCTTATACTTGAAACGTTAGTTATTCACTTACTACATTTAACTTGCTTCTCGCCGGTACGAGTGTACTAATCCTTTCGAGGGGCTTCACCATTTTCAGGTTGAACCTAGAGCTTGCTACCAACACATTTGCACCAGGTGAAGTGATATTAAGGAAGACATGTTTTGTGCTTCCCTTACCAATTTAAAACTATAAACACTACTCATGAATATTTGGTTTTACTATAATTGTTTTGGACCTGCGAGTCCATGCATGTTTTGGCCGGATGTGGCCATGATTAAACATTGAATATTTACGCTTTCCATGTGATTAAATGTTGATGTTGTTAAGCATGTCATTGGCTCGATTAAGCCCAATTCAGGATCAGCGAATCTGATTGCTTTTTTCGGAGGTGATATGTTCTAAGTTTGGTTGAAGGACGGACGACAGACAATGAGCTTTTTATCTTTTTGTAATTTGCTTACGTTCTGTTATTTTAATATAAGTCACCTTTTCCAAAAAAAAAAAACTAATTTGTAATTTTGCGTATTTCTGTTTCTTCTACTCAAATCTCAATCATACATTTAGAACTCGTTTGGTAGCCCTGTTTTTCGACTTTTCAGACTTATTAGTCAACTTTTTCATCAAACACGTAGTTTTGATTTCACGCTTTGAATTGTGTAATAATAAGAAAATGTGAGGTTGGAGTTACATTTTTTTGCTTTATTGACTGAAATTATTGTAGAACACCATTTTAGCTATTTTTTCATATAATTTTTTCTTTATGGTACTAATAAATACGTAGTATATTTTAAATATAATGTTTTACAAATCAACAGAATCAGTCAATCAACACTTCAATCAAAACTTCACAAACTTTTTCTTCTTTTTACTAAAAATTTCACAAGTTTGAACAGAATCAATTTAGTCACTTGATTTTAGTATAACTCTTAGTTTGAAAATAAATGTTGGAATATTACTACTTATTGAATAGATCCACTAAAAAAGTCCCGAAATGATCAGCAAGATAGAGCTAGGAAACTTCTTCTATATATCGATCATCATCCATGCCCGGCGGCCGGTGCCAAATACTAGTATAAATAACAGCCTCCCATCTCAAATAACCACCACATATCCATCCATGGCATCAACACAGCTCGTCCGCCTCCAATTTTCCGGTTGGAAGCGGCGGAGCAGGGTGGTCGGAGCTTTGGATTCATCATCATCGTCGTCAGAGGTAGTGATTGTGGGGGCTGGGATTGCAGGGCTGGCAACTGCGGTTTCGCTGCAGAGGCTGGGGATCCGAAGCAGGGTGCTGGAGCAGGCGGAGTCGCTCCGGACCGGCGGCACATCCCTGACTTTGTCCAAGAACGGATGGAAGGTCTTGGACGCCATCGGGGTCGGAAATTCTGTCAGAAGCCATTTTCTTCAAATTCAAGGGTACGTACGTACGTAGGCCCTACGTCTTTCCCCACCTACGTCCTATCTTGTTTGTTTCCTATTTTTATTTTTCCAAACAAGACTATCAAAACAGGATACTCCCTCCGTCCAATTGCAAACAGGAATGACAATAAATGATGCTTCTTTTTTACATTTTTGTCCATCTTTTTAAAAGTAGATGCCTTTAAATTAATGGAGATAAAGTAAAAGTAAGGGTAAATTTGTCATTTTATTCTTATTTACATAATTAAAATAGAAAGTGGAATATCATTTTGGGACAATTAAAAATTTAAAATAGGAAATTTTGCAAATCCAATCGGGACGGATGGAGTACTATATTTTTCTTCTTAAGATAAAAGTATTTATTGCTAAAATAGTCGCAAGCATTAACATGATACTCCGTAATATTTAGGGAAAAGGGGCAAATAAGGCCACGTACTAACAAAAAAAAGGTCAAATAAGGCCTTATTTACGAGGCTCTATCCTCCCTTCGCCATTTAACTGCGCAGTTATCCTCAAGAATTCATTTGAACGCCTTCCCGATTGAAGTTTTAGCTGAAATTTGGTATGAGTAAACTTGACTTACTGAATAGGATGGTCAAAAAATTTCATCAAAAAATTCGACCGGGAACCACCCCAATTGGCGACGGCCGGACAAAGCCTCTTAAATAAGGCCTTATTTGACCTTTTTTTGTTAGTACATGGCCTTATTTTCACCTTTTCTCTAATATTTATTGTTATTAATGACACCAACTTCCTATCATTATAGGAATAACTTTTCTTTGAAAAAATATAGTTGTCCAATTTTGAATTTGCATAACATTTTTACTCATATTTAGGTCAATTTCCATTTTCTATATTGCGGCAATACATAAAGACTAATGATGTTTTCTTTTGAACTGTTTTCAGTTCCATACCAAACTTCTATAGTTATAAAATACACAGAGACCAGACTACACCAAACCAGACCAGACCAAACCAGACCAGCAAATTTAAGTCCAAAAGAAAACATCCCAAAAGGAATTTGGCCAAACACTTTATGGTTCGATTACATCTACGGTTGCAAATATCAAACATTAATTCGAATTCATATATGACTATTTGAAAAAAAAACTCAAAAAAAAAAAATACAAACATGAATAGTAATTTCGATTCGCACATTTATCAAATATAAATATGAATATTGACATATTTGATTCAAAATTTATTCAAATATACTCGATTAACAATAATAATAATTATAATAATAGTAATAATAATCATAATAATAATATTAATAATAATATTAATAATATTTTTAATAGTAATAATAGGAACATGAAGAATAGTAGTAGTAATGACAATAATAATAGGAAATAACAATAACAACACAAACAATAAAAAAACAATAATAATACAAGCATAATATTAATAATGATAAATATAGATGATAGACTGAAAATTAGCTACACAACGTACAAGTCCAACTCATATATACTTTTGTACTGTCAATATCATACTCTTAAAATCTCACTTTCGTTTTTCAACTTGTTTGGATTTTGTTCTCTAATCGTGATCTCTGGTTGCTTTATAATTCACATTTTTCTTACTTTAGATTTCTAAAAAAGTTTTGGGCATAAAACCTATTGATTTCTCACCATACAATATTTGATATTTTTAAATTTAGTTGGATTAATCTTACAATTTAAACATTGTATATACTATGCGCAATATATAACATAATTAGGAAAAAAATAAATGATGTTATATTCAAATATAATCAAATATATTAGAAAAATTATTCAAATCGAATTCAAATATTCTATTAACTTCTAATACTAAACAAATACATATATGATTCAAGTAGAAAATTATCTTTTAAATCAAATAGAGGGATATTCGGTTCGATTCGCTTACAATTCTAATGAAGTCACTGTGACACTTCCAAGGAGGATGTCACAACTCACAAGTGCGAAACTTGTATCAGATCTAAGTTAAGACAATAATTTTGTAATCGTAAATGCTCTAGAAAAAAGTATTGATAAATTAAAGCATAAGAAATTGCAAAGCAAAGGAAATTTATTTAAAAAAATATATATAACATTTTGTCAAATTATTTGAAGGTAAAAAATTTAAAAGGTACACATCAATGCCTTTTAAATAACTTATGCCTTATTTAACCACATGAATCTTATCAAAACATAGAATTGATTTTTGAATTGTAGTTTTTGTCTATCAAGGAGGAAATTCATGGGTCACAAGGAGTTTTCTTAAAATTACAATAGTATGTATGAAATAATCATTTTTAGAATAATATTACACATAGTATTGTTAATTCATGTATATGGTGCATATTATATTTGTATTAATGCTAAAATATGTTACATTTTATTATTTGTGCAATAAATTGCTTTTAGAAAGTAAGAAGTAAATGATTTGTATAATATAATGTCAACAAACATTTATATTTTGGATTCAGTTCACATGATCTAAAACTGTTTAACTAGTGTGTCGGATATTTAATATCGTTTGATCTTTTACATAATTTTGTACTAATTATCTAATAAAGATAATTAAATATTACAAAGCTAGGAACTTTCATATAATAGGCATCATAAGTCTTAAACTATCTAAATTACTTTAGATTTTACTCTTTAAAATCTCCAATTAAGTATTACACTGTGTAAGGGTATATATTAACTTTGAAAACTAAAAGTTAAGGGGGGCGAAAACATATGTATCTAATGAAAGTATGAAAATTTTATGAAAACACTACATATAGTAGAAAATTTTGTTAGTCCAAGGGGGCGGTCACCCCCTGCCCCCCCCTTAAATCCGTCCCTGTGGCTGAATATGATGATGCAACCGTGCCTGCTCAGAAGGCAGTTTTAGAGCAAGCTGCCCTTCCATGTGTCCTTTTATATTTGTGTCCTTTAATTAAGATGCTTTTCCCAAACCTCACTGTCTGTTTGGAACTCACAAAATGATAGCTGGAGAAAGAAAACATCAAGGAAAATCAAAGTACTTGGTGAATTGCAAGCAAAGAAAATATGAGAAGAAATATTTTTTTTAAAAAGGTTCCAAGTAAAATCCAGAAACTCGCTCCAACGGTTTATTTTTTATATATTGGCATTGCAGAGATACTAATAAATGTAAACATTTGTCGACATTTAGAAAGTTAAGATCAAATGTCACTCTATTTCATACTTTCCAACGTAAAAACGGAGCACAAAATAACTAGTAGCTTCCCCCTACCATAGTCCGTTCTCCATGTTCCTTAAACAGTGAATTCAAGTTCAGGTACAATGAAGATAATGAAAAACACAAGTGCTTCTTTTATTTAATTAATCTTTATTGCAGGGTAGTAATAAAGTCGGAAGATGGAAGGCGTTTGCGCTCTTTCTCGTTCAAAGAAGAGGACCCGAGGTAGTAACATATGTAGCTTGGTTGATGTAGGTTCTCTTTGATATTACACCGTGCACGAAGATTGCTATATATCGTGTATGTTTCTTTCTAAATCCATGTTTCATTAATTATGGGAGCGAGCAGCCAAGAGGTGCGTGCTGTGGAGAGGAGAGTAGTGCTAGAATCACTAGCTAATGAGCTGCCTTCAGATGCCATTTCCTTCTCTTCAGGCCTCTCAAAGATTATTGAAAGACGTGAAACCAGTGAAATGCTGTTGGAACTTGAAGACGGCTCCCATTTGTCTGCCAAGGTATTTTGTCTCCAGGACTTGGTGGTATGCCTGTACCATATTTAGGATCTGGACCATTAATTCATGGATTGAATTAGCAATTCAGGCATTCGATTAATCAGACTTGTATGTTATTAACACACAGGTAGTGATTGGTTGTGATGGGATCCGGTCTAGAGTGGCAAAGTGGATGGGGTTTTCAGAGCCGAAATATGCAGGCCACATGTGCTTTCGAGGGATAGGATTGTACCCTGAAGGACTTCCCTTTGACCAGAAAGTACAATACACGTACGGAAGAGGGGTGCGTGCTGGTTTTGTGCCCATGTCTAAGAGCAAAATCTATTGGTTTGTCGTCTTCAACAGCCCATCACCAGGTATATGCTTGCGTTGTATTGTTCTAGCTATTTGTCAAGTGATGGCCTTTTATGGTCACCTGATAAAAAATGGAACTGTTAGATCAATGCACATGGATCCTTCACCATTCTAAGGGCTCCCAATCTGTAAGAGTGAGTATTAGAAACAAGCCACCTAATCAAGTAGCAGAAACCTGGTAGGTTTTTGGGGCATTCTTAATATATTGTCAAAGTTTTTTCCCGCCCCTTTCCGTTGTTGTTTAAGTGCTTATTTGTATGTTTTGAGTGATTGCTTGCCTACCTGGTTTTTGTGTGCCTTGATGTTGCTTGATTTTCGCACTACCTTTCTGATAGAGTATAAAGCTATCACTTTCATTTATTGCCAACATGATCTCTTACAGTATCATGTAGGCTTTTTAAGGTTGAGATAAGGTATACGCCATACATATTACGTAGTATAGTTTAAAGTCAACATTGCGTTGCAGTAGGGTTATAAAACATATCTACAACTGACAGGTACAAAGGTAGGAGATCCACAGTTTTTGAGGCAGCAGGTGCAAGAACTAACCAGAAGTTGGTCACCGCAGCTACTAGACATCATTGACCACACCCCAAACGAGACGCTTGTAAGAACTCCGCTATTTGACAGATGGTTGTGGCCATTGACAAGTCCTCCCGCATCTTCCGGTAGGGCCGTTGTGGTTGGCGATGCGTGGCACCCGATGACACCGAATCTCGGGCAGGGGGCGTGTTGTGCGCTAGAGGATGCCATTGTTGTATCCAAGAAACTTGCGGGGGCAATCAGATCCAAGAGTGTTTCAGTTGAAGAAGCACTTAGAGAGTATGAAAGGGAGAGGTGGCCCCGTGTTTTCATGCTAACCATACGTGCATATCTCGTGGGAGCATTCCTGCAGTGGGATAACCCGGTGGTATGTTATATAAGGAACAATGTGATTGTACCCAAGTTGCTGAAACCTGGGCCAATGCTCAAACATACAAACTTTGAGTGTGAGCCTCTATGAATTGCATGAATCCAGAAAGGTTGTTTAGTCAGTCAACTATGTACGTTTATTTTGAATAACAAACTAGTATTCTAAATCGTGCAATGCCTTATGTGTGTGTATTTCGTGTTTTAAAAGAAAAAATTAAATAATACGAAGTATTTTATACTCAAGGCAACTTAATTTTGTTCCAATTTTTTTCATTTTTCATATTTAGCACACACCTATAACTAAATCTAGTATAATTAGGCATGAACCGGGCCCGGGCCAGTCCAAACCGGGACATTTTTTTTTATTTTTTTTTAGCTTTTCTAATGTATTCATACCCCCCACCCCGCCACCCCCCCAAACCCCGTCAAAACACCCAGCCCAACCCACCTAGCATAGGCCCAAACCCCCAAAAAATGGCCCGGACCGGTCCCGGACCGGCCGGTTCCCCTTTTAGTGCACTCGTAGCCCGCCTTTAAACCCCCCGGTTTGGGCCCAGTAGACCGGTCCCGGTTGACGGGCCGGACCGGTACGAAACAGTACCGGTTCTGGCTGGTCAAAGCATCCCAAATATCTAGATCAGCTCCTGAATTTGTAAGTCTTACATATTTTTATTATTATACAATTCAATAAACAAAAACAAAAATTACGTTTTTGTAAATAAAAAAAGGGGTTTTTACTTGGATATTAGTAATTTTGAACCAATTACCCAAAAAGTGACCATTTTTAAAAAGGGGCAAAAAAGTGACTAAGAAGGTCATATATGTGCAATTAGAAATCATGTCGTAACTGCAAAAATTTTATGTCACTGCGTGTTCGTTTTTTTGTAACTACAGTCACCACTCATATCACTACAATCATCGCCCGTGTGTCACTGTAGCCACACCCCGCCACAACAACAACCGCCCATATCACTGTAGCCACCGCCCGTGTCACTGTAGCCAACGCCCGTGTCACTGTAGCCCCCGCCCGTGTCACTGTAGCCACCGCATGTGTCACTGTAGCCGCCGCCTGTGTCACGCTGCACGTGTCACTGTAGCCACCACACGTGTCACTGTAGCCCCCCACGTGTCGCTGTAGCCACCACACGTGTAACTAAAGCCGCATCCTGTGTCACTATAGCCACCGCCCGTGTCACCGTAGCCAGCGTCCATGTCACTAACACTATGAAAAATGTCACTATTGTGTTTTCCTTTAGCAACGCGGGCCAGCTTAGTGAAATAGACAGTGAAATAGACGCAGCACTGGTTAAGTAACCACTACTGCAAACCACCACCACACCCTTCCTCCCCGCCCTCCCCCACCACCATCACGAGTCACGACAGCCCCCTGCACTACCCCATCACCCTAAGGCCCAGTCCTGCCCTCACCACTCCGATCCTGCCCCACCCTCACCCTGACCCATCACCCCGAGCTCCACAATTGGCCACTGACCGACCAACATCGCCATAGAATTCGCCCCCTCCCACCAGTTTACCCTTCGGCCGCCACCACAGACCATGACCACTTCCCCTTCCAGGCCCAAGCCACCCCTCTCCAACCACCCCAACCACTGTTCTCCACCATACAACCCAAGTGCCGAACAAAATTGACCTCAAAATCGCACCACTACATTAGATCTGAACTCTAGCCATCCATCTGAAACAGTAACCATAAAAAATGGACGGCTGCTCCATGGGATAACGGCGACGACGGGCGAGCAGATGTGTGCGAGCAGTGGTGGATTACAGACAAGAAGAAAGGAGAGGGATTGCAGCGGCCGGCGCCTCCGTAGCCTCCGCTGATCGCCATCTTCGTCGATCTCCATTGCAGAAGAAAGGAGAGGGATCGATCGGAGAATCGATGGTCGCTATCTTCGTCTCTCTCTATTGCAAAAGAAAGGAGAGGAATCGATGGTCACCATCTTCATCGCAAGCGCTGGTGCCATCTTTGTCGCAAGGCTCAAGGAGTTTTGGTAGCGCTGATTTCGCAGAGGACGACGGGAATTAGAGAGGGCAGGAGGGGAGAGTTTTTATTTTTAAATGGTTAGTTTTCTGTCCAACTAAAAACTGGTCATATTTTTTTCCATGTAAAGTGTACAAGTAATATCCTTGCCATTATTTCTAAAAAAAACTGTCTGTTAAGAAGCTAAAATAAGTTGCTTATATGGAGTATTAATCAAATACGAGTACAAAAGTATATATGCATAAAGAAATTCACTAGATGTCACCATTAAAAAGTGTCAATAGCTATCTGAAACCTCAAAATAAGATGTCAACATTTATGCAAAAGCATCCATTCATTCATTCATTTTCATTTACCTCAGTGCCGCAAAGGCTCCCACCTACGGTGGGGTAAGGGGGGTCGGATGTACGCAGTCTTACCCCTGTACTAAAGCACAGAGAGACTGTTTCCGGATGACCCATAGTGAAAAACTGAAAATCGCGTCCAAAATTGCATGGACTGACTGCTGCTTCATAACAAAGAAGCGCAGACAGTTTAGTGAGCCATTTTGCTTTATTCCATCATATTCTCAAGCAAAAAAATAATGAATCTTTGGCTCCATTGCAAATGATAGAAATTATGCAAAAGCATGTGTAAATAAATTATTGACACACGTATTGTATTGTTTTAACTCGTGGCAGAATAAAAAAATACTTGCTGGCACAAATTTAAAATAAAAATACTATGTATAACGTATGTAGTATACGATAACATAGTAAGTATACGTAGACTGTACTATGTAGTCTGTAGTATCAACTCTCAGCTTCTTGCCTTCTTCCCACTCCCATATATATCACCTTCCTGAAAATTAAGAGCTTATCAAAAACTCCCTTCCATTCTGGGAATGCCCCCTACCTCTTCTGCCCATATCACCCCCCAGACCTCAACCATTGCCCTTGTCCTAATTTTCCTTCTTCTCATAACTATTAACTAAACGCATAGATTACTCAGATCAATTTCTTCCCTTCCATTTCCCAAACACATAACAAATTGCCTTTGCGTCCTCACGGTAATCAAATATTTCAGTTGCTCTGGTTGCATCAATCTGCAATCTTTAAACACTACCTTCAATATAATCTCTTTATCTGCATCAGAATTTTCAAGTTTGATGAAATTGAATTCCTGATTTTGTTATTATATTACTGTATAACATAGTTGACCTTTCCTTATGAATAAACTATCTTGGTGTTCAAATTAGGATTATAATCATTTTACATGAATTTAGGGTTCTACCCGAGTAATCTTGGAATTCTAATCCTGGTTGCACTTACCAAGATTAGTGAAGATAACCATCAAAACTGTTAAAACCGTCCTTTTTTCATTCTACAAATCCATTGTATGCAGTTAAATCTATCTGGATATGCTTGCTACGCGCATGCTGAACAGGGTTTGCAGTCAAATATGAAGCAGAGATGTTATCACAAAAAAGCTTAACTGGAACAGTAACTGGAAAGCCGAGCTCATAGAGAACTGAACGAATATGCAATGTATCCTGAACCGTATATGCAACTGCACGATACTCGGCTTCTGTAGAGGACTTTGACACAGTGGGCTGCTTCTTGGACTTCCAAGAGACCAGGTTGGGACCCAAAAATACGGCAAAACCCGTCGTGGAGCGTGATGTATCTGGACAACCTGCCCAATCTGCATCTGAATAGGCAATAACACAGGTGGCTTTCATAGTCGGTTGAAGCCATAAGCCGTGGTCAATAGTTCCCTGCAAGTATCTAAAAATACGCTTGACTGCAAAAAGATGAGTAGTACGGGGAGCATGCATAAATTGGGACACTATATGCACAGCATAGGTAATATCAGGTCGTGTCAAAGTTAAATATTGTAACGCACCAACCATACTACGATACTCAGTGGCATCTGCTAGAAGCTCCCCATCAGTGAGGGATAAAGAAGTGCGAGTAGCAAGAGGAGTACGAACAGATTTAACAGTGTGGAGATGAAAACGAGAGAGAAGGTCAGACACATATTTATGCTGAGAAAGAAATAAGCCTTTAGCAGAACGTACAGCCTGGACTCCCAAGAAATAATGAAGATCTCCAAGATCTTTCATAGCAAAGTGTTTAGCAACAGTCTGAATAAAAGATGTAATAGCAGCAGAAGAATTTCCAGTAATAATTATGTCATCTACATATAATAATAAATGAATGACAGTATTATTCTGGCGGTAAATAAATAAAGAATTATCAGACTTGCTGCACGTAAAATGATGAGACAACAGAAAACTACTAAAGCGATGAAACTATGCCCGCGGGGCTTGCTTAAGGCCATAAATGGCTTTTCGCAATCTACATAGGTGATTAGGAAACAACGGATGAGTAAACCCCCGCGGCTGACGCATATAGACTTCCTCGGTGAGGTGACCATGCAAAAATGCATTTTTGACATCCAATTGACGAATGACCCACCCAAAAGAAATAGCTAATGTAAGGACAATACGAACAGTGGTGGGTTTAATGACAGGACTAAAAGTCTCAGAAAAATCTACACCTGCTTGTTGATTAAATCCTTGAGCTACCAACCGAGCTTTATGGCGCTCAATAGACCCATCTGAATTATATTTAGTCTTAAAAATCCACTTAGAGCCCACAATATTTTTAGAATTATCAAACGGAACTAAATCCCACGTATTATTAGAAATAAGAGCATTAAATTCCTCTGCCATCGCCGCACGCCATTTTAACTGTTTATTAGCCTCTGAAAAACATGTAGGATCAGCTGATAAAACAACAGTGTTTAAATTAAAAATGGTTTTTGGTTTAAAAATTCCCGACTTCGCCCTCGTCTGCATAGGATGAGTATTAACGGCTTTGTCGTGGCTAATAGGAGAAGAGGATGCGGCTTCCGTGATTATGACAGACGAGTGGTTGGAAACTGTGGTGTCGGGTAAGGGAACGGAAACACTGGTTTCGGTCAAGGGAACAATGGGGTGGACGGATGTGGAACCAGGAGTTTGGGCAGCGTCAGGGGAGGAGGTTATTGGGGAATGGCGCGAAGTGGCTGGTGTAATAGGATCGGCGATTGGCTGAAAAGTGGGAGATTGTGGTGCAGGCTGGGATGGGGGTAGTTGTCGGCTGGGTGCGAGGGTAAGGAGACTGCCGAAGTATATGGAATGGGATGGACGGGAAGGGAAGCAGGTGGTGGAGAAGTGGTATTTGTGAGAGTGAGGTCATCAACAAGAGGAGTAGTAGGAGAGGGAGTATGACCCGTA